CGCAACGCACACGGCTGGGATTGTTTCAAATGTAGCGGCTCTCAAAAGCGTTCCTAATCTCAAGGTTCTTGTCGAAATTTTGAAGACGCTAAAAAACGCTACTCCAGTTTTATTCTGACTGGTGCGGACATTGTCGCTCATTCGCCCCGCTGTACAAGGCTCTAGCCAACGACGTAAAGGGATGGCAGGAAGTAGTGAAGATAGCGGCCATCAACTGCGCTGATTCTGTGAATCATATGACGTGTCAGGACAACGGTGTGCAGTTTTTCCCTTACATCAAGGTAATAAACGCTTCACATTTCGAAGTTTCGCGATTGACATTGTTTCGGGTCTGCTTCAGTACTTCCCACGAAACTCTAGTGATGCCTTTGGTGGATCGAAGCTGCGGCCGTATCAGTCTATGGCTGAAATGAGAGATCAGTTGACGAAGGTGCGTGTCTCGTGGGATAAATGTCCGCGCTAACTACCATCTCTTCGTACGCCCCAGGTTGTCATGGATGACTACGCCGTTAATCGTTTCAGCGATTGGCCAATCTTCGATTATCTTGGAGAGTGGGTTACTTCCACCAGATTGATGCTTTAGCGCGAAGTAACATTACTTAAGCGTCGTAACTTACGGCGAACTCTGGCAGGGCGCTCCTCCGAGCACTCAGCACATGGCCGTTATTTTCGAAAACCATCAGTCCAGCCTAACGGGAGCTCAGGTGCACCTTTATGTCAGTAGCCGACAGTTTCATCATCATGATTTGCAGCTCTTACTAGATCTGCACCAACACAGAAAACGTCTCTTAGTGCGTCGCTGCCTCAGGAATCACCCCTTGGCGGACGCTCTTCACCTTACCGATTTTCCGTCTCTAGCGATCTTCAAAAGAGGCGAGAAAAAGCCCGTCGTAGTCGCTGAGTAAATCGCCCTTGTTACACTACTTCTCTCACACCCAGGAGTTCACATTTGCAGGCTTCGCAGGCTGTTGCTGACTGAACTGGAAAATTTCCTCAAGGATTCTTCACAGCAAGCCGTTCAGTTCCACTCCCGCAAAAACAGAACACAGTCTTGCGATAGTGATCCTGAGAAGTAGGTGATTTGATTGAGCATGAATTTCCAGAACACTTGACAAAAATATGTATACCCAGTTCAGAGTTTCAAACCTTCGAGATTTTTAATCAACGCCTGAACCCTTTTGAAGCCTTTTTTGCACTTGAGATATTTTTGCGATCAAGGGGATTAGAAAGTGCTCTCAATGCAATTCCGCGGGGGTCCAAGAGCAATCTGTACTTAACACCTTTTAAACGGCTCTACAATACCTTTCTCCGACCGTGAAACGGAAACGTTTAACTATTTTCTTCTAGATGAAGTTGTGGAAGTGGTATCATAGCGGATTATAAAAGCTTCTTATTTTTGCAAAGTGATTACCAAGTGAATAGAATGACGCAATGAATCGAGAAGAAGTAGCTATCCGTCGGTAGAAAAGATATGGTTTGGCGCTTATCGTCTCCTGCACAAAGATTTCTGGCCCTTCCCTTAGAATTCCAAAGATTTCTTATAAGAACGGCTTGGTGCCAGCCACGTCTCAAAAATTTTTACAAGGCTAATTCAATGTTCGCGAAAATTCGGAAAATTATGAACGTGTACAATCGCATGCACAAATCGCTCATGTAGAACTTTAATATTTTCATGACCTTTGAAGGCACAGTTTAGATGTCGTGCTCTTTACTACGTCTCTGAAGTGGACATGCTCAAAGCAGTGCGATATGCTTTGTTTCGAGAGACATCACGCACGAATGCTCCGCTAACCGGTCACAACCTCACTGCACTCCATGCTTTTGTCAATCTTCTGGCCGATTACTTTCCCGTCACTACTTCTTACGGCAACAATGTAGGTGCCACCAATAATGTTGACCTGCTTCGATAAAAAAAAACTTTGGGCTATTCAGTCTGTCCTCGATCGTTCCACCAGGGCTGTCAAAGTATTTGCACGACTTCGAGATTATCTCGAAAATCGTGGACTAGACGCTACGATCACCCCTGATGAATGGCAGAGGCAGTTTATCACAGCTGAGGCAAGTTCGTTTTATCCAAACGAGATAAGTCAGACAAAAGTTGAGGTTACTACATCGCCAATAAGCTTAAGCTGCTTGGGCAAGTGTTACAGACTATAGTAGTAGAGCCTGTATGATCGTGCGAGATGTCTGAGCAGGGAAAGTCTGTTGGCGATGTGATGCTACTCGTTTTGTGAGTGCACTTTTCAGAAAACTGAGGGGGACCCATTTGCTGTGAGTTCTGACTGGGAGCACTGCAAAGGTTCTACTGGCCAGTTTCGAGGATACACTTGTGGATTGTGGATCACCTTCCATGCCTTGACCGTTTCTGCGTACAAACAAGCCGAGGAGCGGTGTGAGTGAAGTATTATG